GTGATATGTCTTTTTTTTATAATAATAAAGCTAGATTATTACTGGATATTTTTAAAATTAAAATTTATCTTTTTCAGGATCCCTCTTTCTCTGTGTGTCTTTGTGTGTATACATTTCTATATCTATAGTATTATTTCTATTTGATTTGTTTCCTTAGATTTAAATATTTTGTCTGCAACACAATACTTATTTCTCTTAAATTATTAAAGCAAATGTTCAATGTGCAATGGAAGTATAATAGTATCACTTAAATTCATAGGGTTTTGAAGAAGACTAAATCAAATCATGCGTGCACACTGATAACATCAAACATGAGCTATAGTTAGTAACAGATAACTCTAAATAGGTATCATTATTATCAACCATTAGCTCATGAAATCTATATCTTCTCAAATATCCACCCCTTGGAAGGGGCTTCCCATATTAAAGAAGAATGTGAAATAGAGGGACTCACATCAAATTATTTGTTTTATAAAACATATATTCACTACTGAAGCTTTGCTTGTTACTGGATATTTATTATATATTTTTCAAAATGTAGTTGGTATAATTTTAGGACAAATAAGAAACAACAGAAAACAGGATCAAATTTCTGAATTGCTGTGTTTCATATACTTAATCGTGAGGTAACCTTGAGGGCAGACAACCATCGTCTGCTAGCATGATCGCCTGGATTCACTGCAAATTGAACATCGTGGCAGATTCTGCATTACTCTCCATAAACAACAATGCACACAATGTTTTAGAATACAAAAAATGTCTAATTGTATTTTGAGATGTGCACTAAAATATGGCTGTAATTTAGAAATGCTATCGCACTGGCTCCAGAATAGGACAGTGTATGCAAAGCATAGAAGCTCAACTTTGAGAACCTGGCCAAGGAAAACAAAACAAAAACATAAAACTTCAGCTCCAGTTGCCCAGATTTCTTGGGAAACATTATAGTTTTATTTTTTTACTGTAAGATATAAAGCCCTGTGGACAGAACCATTTAAACATTATCATTTTTAAATTCAAATCAATATTTTCCACATTTATTTTTATTCAAGTGTATTTTTCTCAATGAATAATACATGATTTTAAAATATCTCTCTCACTACCTTCTTGACCATTTGTGATTTGAATGTATGTAATATTATCCTATGTATCATTCGCAATGGTTCTTCTTCAAGGGGTACTCAGGGTAGGGTAAGGTAAACGTAAGAGAGTCCAGTGTAGGAAACTTTAACCAGAAGTCCTCAATTCAGCCAGAAATCAGACGGTTAAAATTGTTTTCACTTTGCTACTGATCATACGGGTTTTTGTGGGCACCACATTTTAAAAATATACTATTCAAGCATCTTACAAATAATTTTGGAATGTAAAAGAGAAACGTAGATTTTTTTTTAAATGTAGTTATCTATATAATGACTGCAGACAGTCCAAGTTCATGTAGAGCTCAAATCCTTCCTTCTGAAATCATCACCCTTTCCACGACAATGTTCTTATCAAGTGATGCAAGCTTTCCACCCATATTATCAGCATCAAATATATTAGGAATCCATAAACATATTGACCAATTCTCATGAGAAAATGTACGAAACTGCTACATTGCAAAATAGCATTACTTTTATCATTATCAAAAACAGTAACTGACACCATTAGGATGACTCGCCGGGTCATTGCTTCCAGTCACCGGCTCCTGACCCATGCCACCAGTGAAGGAGAGCTTAGTTTAAAAGTGAAAGCGTTTGAAGCAATGTTTTTCAATCCATTTCAGCTAATCATTAAATGTTCATGTTGCTTCATAATCCTGTGCCTTTGTCTTTATAACTTGTCAGAATATCACTTTTTCTTTAACCCTTAAAGTCTCTCAATATAACTGATGTTTTTTTATAACCTACATTTTGAGTTCTACAGTGCCTACATTTTTGAGGTAGACCTATTTGCTTCAAATCTTTAAAAAAAAAAGTGACTTATCTTGCTGTCTTTTCTCTCTTTCTTGGCATTTCCACTTCCTTTAAGTGTAATGGGGAACCGGCACCCGTGGCAACTGAGAAAACCTCGTTAACGAATGGGTATGAAATGGAAAAGTGTATTTTTTTAACCTTTAACATGAAAGTAAGAGCAATTTTTGTGAACTGTGTTTTAAAGGTTATAAAATATTGAGACCTGAAAATAATACGTGTTTTATGTATCTTGCAACTTTTTCCCCCTTTCTCTTCAACTACTTTCTTTTATCTTGCATTTTTCTCTCCACACTATATCCACTAACTTCTCCATTGATTTTTAAAGTTGTGTTCCACCTTTTACTCTTTTATACTGCATTAAAACAACTCACAGCCAAACTTAACTTTATATTCTTTGTACTATTATTTTTAGATAATCTATCCCCACAGACATTATATTTTAGAATGTCTAGTTCAGCTTGTTGCTATGTGGTTGCTCAAGACATAGCTCATTTCATGGCCACAGTTCAAACATATTAACCATATGTGTGTCACTTAATGGTAAAATAAAAGAAAATCAACTCTTACTTCTATCTCTACAGATTCATGCAGCTTCTTGCAGGTGGCTGAGAAGGTCTCAGATGTGCCAAACTCAAAGTACCAAAATTTATTCTTCATTCTGAAAAAGGAAAGAGACAGCTTAGACACAAATTAATAACAGCAGTATTTTAAAAATAGGTTAAACTGGTCTTGTGTTATCAGTAGCTGGATGAGTTTGAGAATATAGGACACCCAAAATGCAAAGAAGGTTGATGCAATTCTAAGGGTTTATATGTTGGTGTTCAATTATGTAAGTCCCTGTGGGGTTTATAGGAATATGTTGTTCATACAGTCAACAGGGTATCTGGATTTTTCTTCTATTAATTGCTCCGATTTTAAAGACTGGCTTTACTGATTATTATTCATAGGTTGCAGGTCAACAGCTTGATTTTGGAAATATAACTCTGTAGCCATAAAATGAAAAACACAGAAATCTTGACTTCTCTTGAAGGAAACAAAGAGAAAAATCTCAACAGTGTTAATTTTGATAGATAGCTATTTATCTGTCACTGTACCAAAAAGAACTAGTCAACACCCCACTGTTTCAGGAGGTAGTGTATGAGCAAGAACTAGTGGCACTGAAGGAAGACATCCACATGGCACTGAAAGCACTAGTCACAAACAAGGCTCCAGGAGCCGATGGATACCAAGTGAAATGTTAAAAAAGCTGATGAAACACCGGAAGCACTCACTCAGCTATGTTAGAAAATTTGGAAGACAGCTACTTGGTAACTGACTGGAATATATCCATATTTCTACCGCTTCAAAGAAAGGTGGCCCAGTGAATGATCAAACAATCGAACAATATCACTGACATCATATGCCAGTAAAATTTTGTTAAAGGTCATCCAACAATACATTGCAGCTGTCCATTGACAAGGCACGGCCAAAATTTCAGAAAAGTACATGGAACAAGGGATATCATTGCTGATGTCGGATGGATCTTGGCTCAAAGCAGAGAACACCAAAAAGAGATTGTGGATCATAACAAACTATGGTTAACCTTGACAACAATGGGAACTCCAGAATACTTCATTATGCTTACGAGGAATTTGCAAATGGATCAAGAGACAAGCAGAACAAGGGGATGCTCATGTTTAAAATCAGGAGAGGTTTATACAGGGTTATGTCTCCTCATTATACTTATTCAATCTGTATACTCAACAAGTCACCAGAGAAACTGGATTAAATGAAGAAGTAGGTGACATCAGGACTAGAAAAAGGTTTATGAACCACCTGTGATATGCAGATGGCATGACTGCTTGCTGAAAGTGAAGAGAATTTGAAGCACTTCCTTATGATGATCAAAGATTGCAGCCTTCGGCATGTATTACAACTCAATGGAAAGAATACCAGATTCTTCCTAGCTGAACCAATAGAGTAGATGGGGGGAAAGTTGAAGTTGTCGAGGATTTTAGCTTATTTGAATCCAGTCAGTGCTCATGGAAGCAGCCATCAAGAGACCAAAAGGCACATTGCAAAAGGCACATATCTGCTGCACAAGGCCTTTTTAGAGTATTGACAAGCCAGGATGTTACTTTGAAGACTAAGTTGTGCCTCACCCCAAATATGTATTTTCAATTGCCTCATATGCATGTGAAAGTTGGACACTAAATAAGGAAGACCTTAGAAGAATCAATGCATTCAAATGTGATACTGTCAAAGCATATTAAAAATATCATGAACTACTAAAAGGACCCACAGATCTGCCTTGGAAGAAGTATAGCCAGAGATCCCCTTATAAGAAAGGATCACAAGGCTTAGTCTTACAAACTTTGGACATGTTTTCAGGAAAGACCAGTCCCTGGAGGAGGACATCATGTTGGGTAAAGTAGAGGGGCAGCGAAAAAGAGAAAGCCCCTCAACCAGATGGATTGACACAGCTGCAGCCACAATGGGCTTAGGCATAGGAACAATTGTGAGGATGGCACAGGACCAGAACATGCTTTGTTCTATTGGTCGCTATGGGTCATATCAACTTGATAGCATCTAATAACAACAACAATTTATCTTTTAGAAAATGGCACAATCACAGAGAATACAGAAAAATGGAGGGGAGGGGGAAGAGTTGACATTGAGAAAGCTAAAATTAATAACTTTGGAAAAGCCATGAATTATTTTTAAAATTTTCCGCTTCCATAGGACTAGTAGTATTGAATTATGATAGCTCTTGAAAGAAATAAGGAATATATTCATCTTTTCTTTTTTAAAGGAAAATACTCAAAGTCTAAAAGATTTCAGCACTTATTCTAAGCAAGATCATGTTTTGACTACTTCAATCAAACAAACTTTTTATAATTAACTGCTATTTTATAATAGTAGAAATATTATCAGTTATTGGATTTACATGTATGGTTTAAATTATAAATAATTCAAATGAGGCATACTGCCTTCAATTAGAGAAAAATATAGGAAATATGAGAATATTTTCATACTTAAAGGCAAGACAGTGATTTTTATCATTGCATTCATATATATTTCTAACATCAAATTATTCTGTCCAATTTACAAATATTAACATATTCCTTTTCTATTACCATGGAAAAGTTCTGCAATTACAAATATATTTAACAAAGATTTTTTACTTAATTTAATCCTATTATTAGTTTTGGAAAATGGCATGGAGTTTGTAGTTATTATTGTTATGCTAGGAGCCCTGGAGGCCTAGTGGTTACACGTTGGTCTGTAATACAAAAAGTCAGCAGTTCAAAACCACCAGCGAGTTATTATTAAACGGCGTTGAATAGAATTCTCAGAAATTGTTTTGAAATTATAAAACTAACATTATATGACCTACCTGCATATACATTCCACTACATTGAGACTAACATAAGGTTTTATTTCTTTTAAAAATTGCCACTAATCTTTCTGTATCAGATATATTCAAGTCAGTAATCTGTAGAATAATATAGTTTTTAAGGAGCCTCTTTCCTCAATGCTGAGGAAACCATAAGAGAAGAGGGGTTACATGAAGAAGAGTGTGGCATCAATATTGGAGGAAGGCTTATTAACAACCTGTGATACACAGATGCCACAACTTTGCTTACTGAAAGGGAGGAGGACTTGAAGCACTTGAGGATCGCGGTCAAAGCTTGTAGACTTCCATCAATATGGATGACCACACTGCTTACCATACTCCCATCAGTATGGATTACGTCTCAATGCAAAGAAGACCAAAATCTTCACAACTGGACCAATAGGTAATATCATGAGGAGAAAAGGTTGAAGTTGTCAAGATTTTTGTCTTACTTTGATCCATATTCAATGCTCAGAGAAACAGAAGTCAAGAGATCAAAAGATGTATTGCCTTAGGTAAATGTGCTGCACAATACACAATACCTTTAGAGTATTGAACAGCAAGGATGTGATTTTTGAGGACTAAGGTGCACCTGACTCAAGCCATGGCATTCTCCATTGCATGATATCCATGTGAAAGTTGGACATAAAACAAGGAAACCATAGACAAATTGATGCGTCTCAATTGTGGTGTTGGAGAAGAATACTGAAAGTACCATGCACTTCTAAAAGCACCCACCCATCTCTCTTGGAAGGAGTAAGGACAGTGTTCTTCAGAAGCCCGGACAGCAAGACTTTGTCTTGTATACTTTGGACATGTTGTCGGGAGAGATCAGTCATTGGAGAAGGACATCATGCTTGGGAAAGTGGAAGGGCAGAGAAAAAGAGGAAAGTCCTCAAGAGATGAACTGACACATTGTCTGCCACAGTGGGTTCAGGCACGTGACCCATTGTGAGGATGGCACAGGACCAGGCAGCACTTCATTCTGTTGTGCATAAAGTCACTTTGGATCAGAGTGCACTCACGGACACAGAAACAATAGCAGTTCCTTCTATCTCTAGTTCTACCTAAACATATTCTGTCTCTACTCATACTTCTTTTATGGCTTGATTTTATATATATGAATAGTGATAGAGATTCTTAGATAGAGTACAGGTAAATATTAGCAACATGCTCTGAGAGCTTATGTTTATAAAATAATCTGGTCTATTAATTCAGATGTCTACATGACCCACCATATGAAATTATGTAGGAAAATATTCTCCTTTTGATTCTCTTTGAAAAAATGAAAGTACTCTCTAATGAAAAATAATTAAGTAGATTGAGAAGAAAATATTGATCTGTCTAATGCATCCTAAAGATAAACTTATAATAATAATTAGTGCTAGTTTATTGGCTGTTTGGTGCTCTTTTTATACATTAACATTTTTTAAAAGATCATTTCATTAGGGGCTCTAACAACTTATAACAATCCGTACATCAATTGTATCAAGCATATTTGTACATATGTTTTCATCGTCATTTTCAAAATATTTTCTTTCTACTTGAATCCTTGGTATCAGGTTCTCATTATTTTCCATCCCTCCCCCTCATTCCATCCCTCATGAACCCTTTGGTAATTTATAAATTATTATTTTTTTCGTGTCTTATACTGACCGTTGTCTCCCCTCACCCACCTTTCTATTGCTTTTCCCCTTGGGGCAGGGGTAATATGTCAATCATTGAGATCAGTTTTTCCTTCCTTCCCCCACCTTCCCTCAACCCTCCTGGTATCATTACTCCCACTCTTGGTCCTGAGGGTTTTATCTGTCCTGGATTTCCTGTGTTTCCAGCTCTTATCTGTACCTGTGTACAGATGAACATGCTCTGGTTTAGCCAGATTTGTAAGGTGAATTGGGGTCATGATAGTGGGGGGAAGAAAGCATTAAAGAATTAGAGGAAAGTTGTGTGTTTCATTGGAGCTATACTGCACCCTGACTTGCTGTCTCTTCCTTGTGACCCTTCTGTGAAGAGATGTCCAATTATCTACAGATGGGCTTTGGGTCTTCACTCCATACTGCCCCTCATTCACATCACTATGATTTTTTGTTCTGGGTTTTTGATGCCTGATACATGATCCCATCAACATCTCATGATCACACAGGCTGGTGTACTTCTTCCAAGTGGGCTTTGTTACTTCTCAGCTACATGGTTGCTTTTTACCTTCAAGCCTTTAAGACCCCAGATGCTATATCTTTTGATAGCCAGGCACCATCAGCTTTTTCACCACATTTGCTTATGCA